ATGCGGGACTCGATCCCAGGACCCTGGGATCATGACCTGAGCCGAAGGCAGATGCTTAACCATCTGAGCCACCCAGGCACCCAGTGTGAATTTCACTTTAAATAGGGCCTGGTGAACTGCCCTCCAAACTGCTGCCACACCCCCGTCCTCCCAGCCACATCCTGGTGCCCTGCCCTCCAGGCTATGCTACATCAAGGGTGACCCTCTGCAACCCTGCAACCCCAGAGATGTGAGGAAAGGGAAAAGAACCCACATTCAGAGCTCACTGATGATCTCAGTGAGAAGACAGTGACAATGACAGTGACTGGAAGGGGAAGGAGCACACTAGTTTTGGTTGCATGCCCACTGTTACCTTCACAGCTTAAGCCTCACAGCACTCCTGCCAGCCACGGAGAGTTAGATCCATCTTACTGATGAAGAAAAGAGGACTCTGGAAGGTTAGGCAGACTGCCCAAGGTCATAGAGCTCATGTGAGAAAGGGCGCAGAGAAGGGAATCCAGGTCTAACTTCCTCCAAAGATGGTGCCTGAACCACTGCAGGCACGAGAACAATTAGCCTACCAAGCAAGGCTCTGACTTCCAGGAACCGGGGAGTGCCTGGTGGAGGATGAAGCCAAAGTGTTCCCAAGCAACCCAGGAGGTAGTGGAAGTGGCATGGTGGGTGGCAACAGCTTACCATGGGGTTCGAGTCAGAGATGAGGTCTTTCAGGGTGTCCAGGAAACCCTGATCCTCTACCAGCTGAGCATTGATGTCGTGGAGCTTGGCTACACACACAGCTGCTGTTTTGCGCACGTATGGGTCCTCGTCCTTCAGGCACTTCCGGAGTGGCTCACACAGGTACTCTGTGATCTTGTCAACGCGGATGCAGCCCATGGTCCGCACAGCCAGGGCCCGGATCAGGGGATTAGGATCCTCACAATCCTGAGGGGAACCAGCCATTGGCCGGGGGTAGGGGCAGGCTCGGCAACATCAGACACTGCTGTGGGATCTCCCACCAACTGTGGCCAACAGCACTAAAAGTAAGTGCCATGTGTGGGCATTTAGCATTTGCCAGATGCTATGCTGAGGCTTTGTGTATGGTTGACTCTGATTCTCACAGCAAGCATACAATACTGTTCCCGTTTTACAGGTGAAGCAGCCGAGGCTCGCAGGAAGACTGGGAGCTCACCCAGTCACAGAGCAGAGCCATGATTCAAACCCATATCCATCCAGCACCATAACCCACAGAATCCCTCATATGCCTGCATCTGAGCATTGCGGGGCGAGGAGAGCTAGGAAGGTTCTAAAGGTACACAGAACTGACACTTCAAGTCTCTGTTTGCTCCTTAATCTAGATGGAAAACACAAAAAGGGGCAAAGTCTAGAAGGGGAACAGAGAAGCTCTCAGATGCTTGCTGAATCCTGCCCTGGCAAAGGATGTAGGACAATGGTGCATCCCAGGGGGACATGGGGGTCAATACAGGCCTTAGGCTACCTCACACAGAATGAGTTAGGGTCTATAGCAACTTATTTTCTGAGAAAGTGGGAGCCCTCTGCTGGAGGACTAGGAGGCCCTCAAACTGGAAAGGAGACTGAGTGTTTTTACTCAGGGCCATAGTGTCCCACCCCGAGACGGAGGGAAGATGGAGCAGTGAACACCTATGCCCTTCTTCCCACCAAGCTCCTACTCACCTTCACAAAGGTGTTGACAGCCATGATGGCCATGTCGGGCTGACTCTTGGCGTAGTTCATCAAATACAAGTACACCAGCTTCTTCAGCTCCAGGTTGTCTGTCTGCATACAGTTCACCACGTCAGGGAAGAGGGCACTGGAAAGTCAAAATGCATGAGTCTAGGTAAGGCTGAAGAAAGGAAAATTTTTCAGAGAGCTAATGGGGGGTTTGGGGTGGGGGCGCAGAGACAGTGGATGGGAGAGAAAGAAAAAAATAACAGGACTTCCTAGTAAAAGGGAGGACATCAGCTATGCTGTTACCATGAACACTTATGGGTAGCACTGGAACCCAAAAGGTGACTTGAAAAGCAAATCCTCTGTTCTTTTCACAAAGTTCATTCATATACTAGCTCTATAACCCATTAGGCCTGGCTCAAACCCAGCTCTGCCTCCTGCTAACTGTATGAAATTGGGAAAATTCCTTCATCCCCCACCCCATGTCTCAGTTTGCTCACCTGCAGGAAAGGTGCAACAAAACCCCATTACACAGGGCCCTTGTGATAATTAAAGAAGACAACATATTTCAGGTATCTGGTCCTTGACATCTAAGAGGTGCAGAATATATGAAAACAACTATTTTCCTTCCCTGATACTTAACGTCGCCCCCTTATATTTGGGCTGCTGGTTCCAGAAGGCTGTAGGGAAGCAGGGATGGGCCATGCTGCTTTCACGAGGTGAAAACTAGCCCAGCATGTACAGAGCATGCGCTATATGTTGGGCTTGGCACTAAGGGCTTTATATACGTGATCTCAATTAACAGCCCCAAGAAGCCAGTGTGTTATCCCCATTTTACAGAAGACAATACTGAGGCTCATAAATGTCAAATAACCGCCTGAGGAGCCAGGTCTGGCTCTAAAACCTGTGCTCACGACTGCTGTTATTCTGGGTGGAACCCTTCCCAACACGGAACCCCAGAGTCCCAGAGTCCCAAACCCCTTGAGATGCGAAATATGCTTCGAGGTCAATTTTCTCTCTCTGGAATCATCACCTCCCCTCTTAAGTCTTGTGACTTAGTGGCCGAGGACATGGTAGACTTAAAGAGGTCAAAGTGAGCTCCCTAGGCTCCCTTAGGAAGGAACCCAGTTGATGCTGACATTGATGCATCACCTTGGAAGATGAAGAACCAGGAAGAAAGAGGAGGGTGGAGAGGAGGAACCACTGATGGGCCCGTCACATCAGCACAACAAGTTCACTTGAGACAGAAGAACAAAGATGCTTCCTCTGTGAGGAGGTGACAGCAGTGTTCTAGTTGAAGGGGAGAGTGGCTCTGTCCTGGAAGGATGTGACTTGGAAGGAGGTCCAGTTCTCCAGCAGACGCCCAATCCTTTTGCCACTCTTGTCTATAGCAGGTCTCTCTGCAGAACTGTTTCTACTGTGGCGTTGTCAGGAGGTCCCTTGCTGAGGTGGCAAGAGGATAGGACAATCCGTGGAGAAGTCTGGAGAAGTGTGATCCTGACATGCGGTCCGGATGAGGAACTGCTCCACATCAGCGCCCAGGCCTGTGAGGCACGGAGCTGGGCAGCATAAGGGCACAGAGGAGAGGGTATGGGTGGAAACGCCCTGGATTTGGATTTCAGAAGAGCTGGGCTTGAGTCCTAGTTCTGCTATTAACCACGGGACTGCTAGGCAGTCACTATACCCCTTCTTTATCTGGTTTCCTTGGCAGGAAACACACCATTACCTACAATATGGGAATTTTAAGTATCTGAAGGTTTTCTGCACACTCTCAAATACTGTGCAACTGTTAGGTTGTTGCAGAATCTGGTCCCTGTCCTCGAGGACTTTATGACATAGTGGGCAGGTAAACACAAGTACACATAAGAAAAAGACAGTCTAGAATTAGTGCCGGGTGACAGGAACACAGAGCAAATGCTGCACATTCACGCCAGTGCGCTGGGGTGACGAGGGAGGGCAACAGGGAGACCTTGAATGGGTTGTTGATGGGAAACAAGCTGGTAAATGGAAAAGAGACATTCTACACAGGGGAAAAGCACGAGCAAAGGTGAGGCAGCAATGCTACATATGGCCTGCTCTGGAAATCAGATGCAAACCAGAGGCTGCAAAGCGGCGACAAATCTGATGAACCCCATCTGCAGGCACGTGTTAGTGTCACTGCAGTGTTTGTTTGTTTAGTATCATCTGGCAATCTAAACAAATAAGGAAATTTAAAATGAAAAATCTAGATTTCTTATTCTTTTAAAAAGCCAGGCCTGCCCACGCTGGGTTCATTTTCCCCAGCTGGCAGCAATCCTTTGGAATTTCTGCAGGGTCCCTGCCACATCCACTTCATGGCTTGTTACCTTTTTGACCTTGCCCACCTCCCTCACCGTGCTGCCGCCCGACCCCGGTAGCATCGGACCCAGGACCCCTCTGTACCTGAAACCTTCTGTTTGGAAAGGGGGTTCATGAAGGGAGCCACAGGTCCCCAGAGATACCGTCAAGGAGCCATCTGAACTAGACCCGAGCTATGAAGCCCCGCTCTAGCTGCCACCCGGCCTACGCCTGCACACCTGACATCTTTGCCCACGGTCATTGACGCAATCACTTTCTTTACCGCCTCCTTCTTCTTCTCCTTCTTGTCACTGCTGAGCTCTGCCTTCAGCTCGAAGATCTCCCCTAAAAAAGGAGGCAGGCATGAGTGATCCACGCCCACCCTGCCAGGGGGCCACTCCCAGTCCCCAAATTCCAAAAGAATGGGAGGCAAGAGGCAGGTAAGAGGCTCTGTGCTGCCAGCGGAGGGCAGCTTTAGGACCTTGGCCTCAGTGACAGAGGTGGCAGAGAGGGACAACTCTGAGGAGGGCAGCTTGGAGGCCGTGCTGGACTGAGCAGAGGGAACTGTGGAAGCGACAAAGGTTCTGAGGGAGACAAGAAGTGTGAGGACAGGTCCTGCGCAGCCAGTTAAAAACATTCAGAGGAAAGCAAAATTCTCCTCAGCTTCCACCCTCACCCAAAGCCCTCAAGGCGGTGTGTGATGGAATCTGGGACTGAAGTTCTGAAGGGAGAGGGCAGGATTTGCTCGATTCCCACACTTGGCTTTTCCTGTTTTCCTAGAACCTCCAGTTAAAACAGCTCACTCAGGGTTTCATTTCCTGAGCCACAATCGGTTGCTCAGCTCTGAAAATGGGAATTCAGCTGCCCCATGAGGGCTCGAGCGCATAATATGCTTTTCTTAAGAACTTGATGATCTGGGAAAAACAAATGAGGAAATAGGGTTGTTCAGGGCCCAGATAACCCCAACGACAGGTTACAAAGGCAGACTTTGGAATCAGCCAGGCCTCCTGCCCTCAAAACAGCAGCCACCAGGATTTCCTGAGCCTTTCTCTCAGGCAGGCACCACACTTTTCCCCATTTCTCATTTCATCCTCATGACAACGCTGCGTTTCCCCCCATTGTATGGATGAGCAAATGGAGGCTGTGACTTGCCCAAGAACACACCGCTAGTAGCAGTAGGGCCAAGATTCAAAATCGCATCTGCCAGCTCCAAAGCCCATATGCTCGGGCCAACCAAGGATATCACTTTGCTTCTCTGAACCTGTTTCCTTGTCTAATCTCTCTACTTTGACTGGGGCAGTGGATTCTCTCATTTAACACTCAGATGTAAAATGCTCATCTCAGTGCCTGGCACTCAGTGGCCTGCATTAAAGGTGACTGCTATTGTTATTTGCCATGTGACCCTTGGCTTGGATTCCTCTTGGAAGAGTCCTGAGCTTCCCTCTCAAGTTACTTGGGGGTGGGAATAAAGCCAAAGACTGTCATGTGGGGGGAAGTTCTGAAGAAGTTCTAGATGGATTTACAGTGAGAAAAAGAAAACTTGCAGGTTTTTATCATGACTGAACAATGTGGTGCTTGGGAAAGAACTTAGATGACAGACAGCAAACAAAGTTAATTAAGAACAATCACACAGTAGAGCCCAGGGCAAGGCCACACTGAGGATATTGCTCAACAGAGCCAGGAGGAATCTGCAGACCTTGCAGTTCAGACGCTTGACTTCTGTAGGACTGGAGGGACACATGCCCTTCCCCTGCAAGAGACTGAGGGGGCCCTGTCTCCCTGCTGCGGGATCTAACAGACCATGATGACTTTGACCCTGGGTCCTGCTGCAGGGCTGTCCCAGCTTTGCTCAAAGCGTTTGGTCAGATTTAATACAACTGGCCGTCAATTGATGGATCTAGGCCTGAGTCACTTCAGTTCTAAGAAAGCTGATGAGGTGAACTTCGGATCTGCCTGTTGCCAAAACGTCTCTTTCCTCTAATGGGCCCCAAATCCAATCAGTCACCAAGCCTACCTCCTCAATCGCATACAAAGCATCTGATTCTCTCTACCCACAATGCTACACCCCAGCCCACCCCCTCCCCCAGCTCAGCTACTATCATCTCTCATGGCAGCTGTGGTACTGGTCCCCCTGCCTCCCCAAATCTTCACCCCTTCAATTCTTTACTAGAAACTGCCTTGGACCTTCTCTTGCTTAAGACCATCACTGATGTCTGGTTTGGACCCAGGCATCCCTCTAGAGACTCAAAAGATAACCCACAAAAACCCCACCACTGATACTCCAATACACTTAGCACTAGGTTCACCCCCTCTGGCCCTGCACACCTCTCCAACTCTCCTTCCATCACACTCTTCAGTAACTTGTGCCCAGGTGCTTTCCTTCCCCTGAGCAGAGCAAGTGCTCTGCTCTGCGCCCCCCCCACCTCTTCCCCGTTTTAACTAGCTAGCTCTACCCAAGGTTCTCCCACAGCCCCCTGCACTTCCCTTACCACAGCACCTACCACCTTTAGTGTGATTACTATTTAATAGACTGTCTTCTCTGCTTAACTGCAAGCAAAGCCAGGTCAGAGACTCCAATCTGCCTCCACGGCACAGGGAGGGGGCTCAGGAAAAACTGGCTAGAACAATAAAGAAGGGCTCAGTAAGGGACAGACTGCAGGTTCTGGCTCAGCTGCCTCAACAACAGACTCTTTTCATCTGGTCAGCAGGCATGTGTCAATCTCACTTGGAAGGAAGGAGGGAAGAAGGAAGGGCCGGTCAGAAAGATGTTTACAGGGTTAAAGCACATTCATCAGCCACTACAACCACCTCTGTTTCCCAGAAAGCAGAAACAACCAATACCCTACAACATAAGACTAGCTTAGCAAATTTCAGTGCAGCAACTCAGCAGACCAACATTGAGTAGTTAGAACTGTGGGGAAATGTTTAAGATAATGTGAAATGAAAAACAGGATATAAATTCTGACTCTGACCACGTAAAACATGTGCCTGTGGATAAAAGACCAGACACACACACACACGTTTCACTGTGGGGTTACTGATAGGATTGTGTTTTCTTTCCTCCAGGAAAAAACATATTTAATAATGTTAGGCCATTCGGAATAAAAGGGGGCTTTTTTCCCCCTCCATTTGGAGCTAATGCTCTTCCCTTCCTGAGTTCTAAGAGAAGTGGTCAATTTCTTATACCATCAACACTTCAATGTTCTGGATCCACAAGGTTAAAGATGCTCTGGGTAATTCCCACCACTCACTCCCAGGTCTCCACCCCTGCCCCCAAACCCCACGCTGCCAGGGAGAAGGCAGAAGGGTGGAGCAGGGAAAGGGTAGGACAAGACCCCACGATGAAACAAACAGTACCTTTCTTGGTCGTGGTGAAATACTTTGAGTCAGTCATTTTGGTCCCTTATCTGTGCCAGACTCTGCAAGACAGAAGAGAGGGGTGACTTTCTGTTGTGTCCGCTCCATTTTCAGTTACGGAGCACAGGAGGAGGGCAGGATAGAGCACACATGTGGTATGGGAAGATAGCTTCTTATCTCTCTACGGGGTAAATGAGCTATTAGATAATAGCTGATCAGATTTTGGAAGGTAACTCTGAGGGATCTACCAAATTTTTGAATGTGTATATCCTTTGACCCAGCAGTTCTACTTCTAGGACTTCTAGGACTCTCCCACAGAAATACTTGCACAGATGTAAGGGTTTTCCTACAGCAATGTCCATAACAATACATCACTGGAAATAACCTAAATGCCCATCAATGAGGGAATGGCTAATGGGGTGGCTCAGTCGGTTGAGTGTCTGCCTTCGGCTCAGGTCATGATCCCAGGGTCCTGGGATGGACTCCTGCATTGGGCTCTCTGCTCAGCGGGGAGCCTGCTTCTCCCTCTCCCTCTGCCACTCCCCGTGCTTATGCTTTCTCTGTCAAGTGTATAAAATCTTAAAAAAAAAAGGGATGCCTGAGTGGCTCAGTGGGTTAAGCAGCTGCCTTTGGCCCAGGTCATGACCCCAGGGTCCTGGGATCAAGTCCCACATCGGGCTCCTTGCTCAGCAGGGAGCCTGCTTCTCCCTCTTTCTCCCTCTGCTTGTGCTCTGTCAAATAAATAAAATGTTAAAAAAAAGAAGGGAATGACTAAATACTCCGAGAAGTCCACAGATTAAAAAGCACTTAGTTAGGGGCGCCTGGGTGGCTCAGTCGTTAAGCATCTGCCTTCGGCTCAGGTCGTGATCCCAGGGTCCTGGGATCGAGCCCCACATCGGGCTCCC